TTTAAATTTTATTTAATTGGTATATAGAAACATCAAAAAAAGTAATTTTTATAAATCAAGCCACATTAAAAATATAACTTTTGTATTATCAAATATAAACACTAAATGTCTGTCACTATGCTCCGGCCAATAAACAAACATAAATGAAGCATTTAGTTTTTGCTAGCTCTGCTTTCAGATCTGACTTTTGATAAAGGATCTTTTGCAGTATAGGTTATACCTTCATTTTTTTTAGTGAATGTGGCAAATAAAAGCATTATGACTTAAATCATGATGCTTTTATTTGCCACATTCACCAGAAAAATAAAGATATAACCTATACTGCAAGAGATCTCTAGTAAATTTAAACTAAGCATAATATAAATTATATTGTGTTTTTTAATATAAAATTAATTTCAGAAAACTCACAATTCCAGATTTCACTTTGCTAAATTTGAAAATATTTGAAATTTTTCAAAATTATGTTTATAATAAACATATAGACTAATAGTTGCCAATATTTTGATTAGTTGATTAATAAAATTGTAGCTATATAGCTTCTAGTTATAAATTAGTCAACTTGCTAGTCAACTCTATTATTATTTTTGCTAATTCTTATTGATCAGAACATTATAAAGAATCTAAAATTAGCGATTAGCTATGTTTCAAAAAAATTTATCGAAAATTCTTCACTAGGTTTTTTTGGTTGATATACATATCCAAGATGGGAAAACATACGTTCCATTTTTATTCTGTCAGTCATCTGTACGATAATTTCAATTTCAATTCTTAGCTCATAGTCTGCAGAATTTGTAAATAACCTCGAATAATGAAAATAAATAAAACATTATCAAGGAATCTACGCTCAAAGTTTGTAGAAATTCAAACGAAAAAAATCGAAAATTTTATTTTTATTTTTACTTGGTCAAGAACTAACATAAACGAAAATTACACAAATATGACGAAACTATTATTTCTGTGAAAAGCTAAAATTTTTAAAATTCTAGTACGACTTTTCAGTTTTTTTTTTATCATGAATAGGGAAATTTAAATGCTAAAATAATTTTTATTTTCCGAAAAATTTATAAGGCCCGGAAATACATAGTAAAACTGGTCAAATCTATAACGATAACGTATTTTGGGTTAAGCCGGTTTTGTACGTATACGTATAAAAAATAAAATCGTAGGCTAATTAAATATAAATTATATACTATATGCATTATTACCCGTTTATTATTATAGACCATTCAAATTATTAGTTTACTACTCGTTTTACGTATTCATACAGTATATATATATATATAACCTTTTCTGTGTGATGCAAAATCGAAAGAAAAAAACTTTTGAAGTAACTGCGGCCAAACACTTTTTTGCCATTGGCCAAACTATTCTATAATATATTGAACTAATCAGAATCGTTATTTTTATTTTTATTTGGCTACACTGGTTAAATGATTGTTTACGTACTTTAATACGTACTGTAATAAACATTACAAAATTAAAAATGTGTGAAATTAATTAACTGCAGAATTGTAATACAAATAAATCATTATATCGAATCAATCAGGTAATGTAATAATTTGACCAAAAATTTTATTGTACATTCGCTAATTTCAACTATATATATTTTTTAAATAAATCTAATGGCCTAAAATGTAAAGATATTGCTAGTGAAATGGAAAATTCTATATAATAAATACTAACCAACTGGTGATTTGTCAATATGTAATACAATGTTGTTAATTCTCGCACCCGTAAGATTTTATGGTTTTCCAATGGAATGTTATTATAGTAAAGATCCAGCGATACTATTATTTCCAATGGTTCCAATGAACCCCGATACCACCACCAATATAATATATTTAAAGTTTGCTGCTAGGTTTCAAGGTCGGTGGTAATTCATCAGGCAACTCACCACCAGACATAACAGCTTTACAAAGGTGTAAAGCTACTGAGAATTGATCAATATCCATATATCCATCTTCATCCCAGTCTGCCAATTTCCAAACCTTTGCTAAGACAGCCTTTTCTAATCCTGTATCAATCAATACCGGTTTAACTGAATCTCCATTCACTTTGCCATTATTTGGTCTCAAAGCGTTAAATTTTGCTATAGCTTCTTGTTTGTTAATTGCTGAGAAATCCCAGTAACTTGGCGGTAGATCTAATCGGTTGCTATTTTTTGAAATTGATAATGTCATGTCGAACGGATTACGTTCTGTCGGTGATAATACTCGATTTCCTTGTGGGATTTTAGCCATCAATTTTGGTAAATCGTTAGATAACGCCTAGTATATTAAATCGTTAGTTATTATTGTTAATTTGACAAATATTTAAGATTCGTATGAAGATTTAACAATACATACATCATCAGCCTTTTCAACAAGTTGGGATTTTAAGTTATTGAACTTATCAAATTTGTAAACACTAAGACCTGCTTTAAATCGCTCCAAATTTGGAAAATCGCCAGGTGCTAAGCGATATTTGTGTTGAATTTTTACAAATTCTTGATCTAATTTTGCTATAAGTTCATTTTGTTTAGATGTCTTGCCCCACATAGGCATTTCTTTTTTCAAATGTCCAATAATATAAGCATGCACCTATTTTTTAATAATAAAATTTCTTTAAATTTCTCGTATATTTATATGCATATTTGATTTGATGCCAAATTATATATTCCGAAAAGAATTAAATTGATTTAACAATCATTCAGAGACATTTAGCTGAGCGTCTAAGTCTAAATATACATGGCAAATTTAAATGCAATATTATAATATATATCACAAACCTTTGCTATTCTTGCTCGTTTGACAATCTCATTTACTTTTCTGATAGTAGCATTATGTGGTAATTCACTGAGACTTTTTAGCATGTCTTTTTGCTCAGCATCAAGTAATACTCTACAGTCCTCAAATACATTAGAAGGTTTCTCTGACCAGAATGAACCAAGATAAACTCGCATCACTTCAGGAGTCTGGATAACTTTTCCGAGTGACCACATCAAAGCGCCATACCTTCATTATAGTATTTTAATAAGTTAACCGATAGTTTTTGAATTAGATAAATATATGAAATACATATAGTGGAAGAATACTTACACACGCATCAATTGTTGACCCTCAACCATATCGGCTTTATTAAGCAACACTCTGACCTTTTCTTCATGCCCTCTCAAAGAAGTGATTGCCAATTTGAATTCATTGGAAATATCTAATTTATGAGAGTCAAAAAATAATAAGATCAAATCCGCTCTTTCAGCGAACCATTCTATTACGGAAGTAAAATCATAACCGCGATCAAGACGCTGCTTGTCGCCAGCTAAAATGCCAGGACTATCGATTATCGACATATTCTCAAGGATAGGACTTGGAAGTTGTGAAACCTACTAATTAGGTAATTATCAGATGTCGCTAATGCAATGTATATGATTACCAAAAATACCCTTATAACAAACCTGAAACCTTGTTAAAAATGCTTGCCCAAATTTGTTGAGTCCTTGAAATGGCAACTTTGCATCTACGGCCGCAGCATTGCCAGGAATGCACTAGGTTAAAAATAATTTCCAATAATAAGTAATTTTGATAAATAAATAAATTTTTAAATTTATAAAATCTACAACCTTATCTTCAACCCCATTCATTACAGCAACGAATCGATCCGTCTAGATTGAAAATATAAATGTGTACATATTATTTATCAAATACAGTGAACTAATATCCTTTCCCTGTCCTTGTCTGAGAAATATGTATTATCAAAATCTGCGAAGAAGGCCTATAGGAGTAGCCAAAGTTCACCTATAACATCCTTCTTTCTTATATATAAAAATGAAAATTTGTCCAATACTCACTGTTGGCTCTACACCGATATGACTTCCTGGAAAACAAAAATACTACCTTTTATAGCTTTAAACATATTTGGCCTGAAAAAAAAAATAAAAATAAAAACCAACGAACCAGGGTATTCCCTTTCTAATAAGTATTTTATGAAGGTGGTTTTTCCAATCGAATATTGTCCCATGAGTAGTACAATTGGCTTTGCTTCTATATCACTATCCGTTAGTGGAGGTGAATGAAACCCTTCAAAATTATAAGTAGTTTCCAGTGACTTGATTTTTTGGTTATATATTTTTTTCAAGCCATCAGTAACAGCTTTATATTCATCATTGTTAACATTTTTAAAATTATTTTCTCGTCTTGAATTTGCCATATGACTTTACAAAGTAGAAAAATGTAAGTGGACAAAAAGTGAACAGTGGGACTTTTATAAAACCAAAAAAAAACCAATTATTTCCATCTTATCAATACAATATGCTATCTAATTTAATGATCTTCAGGCGCACATCGCACATGCATAACTTCAAAGGTACCCGAATTTCGAAAATTTCGAAAATCAATCGACAATTCCGAAATCGAATCCATGGTCCGTCAAATAGTCTGTGTCACTAGTCAATCTATCAGACCATCCATGCTCGAACATATTTTATAAGCTGACTCTTGCTGGTGTTGCTGGATAAACGCGTTTTTAGTTAACTAGAAATCGTTGTTTTGCTAATACAACACTACACGTTCTCCCAAAAAATTTTCGGTATGGCCGACCAAGATTTTAAAAGCAAGCTTCAGTTTGAAGACCCAGCCGAAGTAGTAGAGTTATATCTCGACAAACGAAAGATCGTGAACATTGCAAATATTACTAACACTTCCGGAGATCGGAAAGACTTTACTCCCCTTAACGAACTGATCAACCTAAAATTACTTTCCTTAAATTGTACTCAACTATCTAACCTAGATGGCTTTCCACCGCTACCAAAGCTTAGAAGAGTACTTGTTACAGTATTTTTTTTTTTTTAATAAAACAGCAAATCTACTAACACGAAATTCTAATACAAGTTTTTTCGTTACAGCTCGCTCTATCCGATAATAAAATAGTCGGTGGTCTAGAAAAATTGGCAAATGCCAAGCTTGAAGATTTGAACCATCTTGATCTGAGCAACAATAGAATAGTTGAGATATCAGCACTGGAACCTCTGGTAAAAACAAACCCTTTTCGTGCAGCTATTGAGTTTCTTAAATCGGTTACAAAAAATAAAACCATTGGTTTATAATCGATTTGAATCCAATCCGATTTTTTGATACTCTATCATATTCTTATATACGTAATTTTGAAGCGTGCCCTGCCAAATCTTAAACATTTAACCTTGGTTGAATGTCCTGTCACACAAATTCCCAACTACCGGGAAGCAGTATTCGAGGTTATACCACAATTGTATTCTCTTGATGATGAAGATCGGTAAGTATTAATTTATGAGCTTATTATCAAGGTTAATAATACATTGAAAACTGAAACTAGTACTATTAATAGAACGGGCAAAACGATAGACTCAGAGGAGGAGAGCGATGCTGAAGAAGATGAAGACGAGGATGAAGACGCCGAAATCATGCGATTGAATGGGCGTGCAGGTTCTATTCCGATGCTAACGTTTTTAACAGTACTGTAATTGGTATTCAATATATCGATTAATCATTAGAGCTCCCTTATTTAGATGATTCAGAGGAGGAAGAGAATCAGGAAGTTGAAGTTAGTGAGGAGGAAGTTGGTTCTGGTTCTGAAACAAATGAGGAAATTGGCGACGACTCAAACGGAGAGCAAGAAACAAATGCTGTAGGTTTAATTTTTATTTTAAATTTTTATTTTTACATTTTAATAATCATTTCTTAATATTTTAAAGAATGAAGAAATATCTGATAGCGAAGAAGAACAACAACTGGTTAGCAAAATGAGTTTTACATTATTATATATCTACTATCGAATGCTTAATTTTAACTTAATCATAATTTTTAGGAAACAAGTGAAATTGAAGAAGAAGAGCCTAAAGTTGAAAAAGTATCTTCAAGAGATAAAGGGAAATCTGTAGCGTTTCGAGAAGAAGAGGAAGATAACGATGATGATTCCGAAAGTCAGCAAGAAGCTGACTCTGAAGAAGAAATTTTATCAATACTTGCTCATGTAAATAAAACTGTCTAGTCTATAATTATTAGTGGTTAGTGGTTTCTAATAAAATAAATCCTCATGGAAATTTATAGGATCTTCCCGAAGATACCGAAGAAGAAGATGAAGAAGATTATCATCCATCTAATGAACAGGAAGATGAAGAGTTTGACGAAAATGAAATCGAAGATGATGATATATCAGAAGCTGATGAAGACATAGATCCATCTCAGCGTCCTTCCACTAGTGCAGTTGGCTCATCATCATCAGCATCAACATCAAGACTGAAAGGTCACGAGGAAGAAGACGATATAGATGACGAAGCTGAAGATGCATCGGAATCAAATCCGACCAAAAGAGGAGTAGCCGAGGAAGACGATAAAATACAAAACAAGAAGCGACGAGTTTAATTTTGTTCTTTTTCCCTTAATATGGGAATTTTTGTCATAGGTTCCATGACCGTTTTTTTTTTTTTTTTTGCGTTAATTGTTATCAGATTTAGTATTAATTATTGCGATTCAAAATGTGATTAGACGATTTTGTTTACATACGAAGCATCATTGTTATTCTCATTTGCATGTCTAATATATTTGTCTGTTGTAGCAAAAATTAAGGATCTTTTATTCGGTAAATGAAGATGTTTGTTTAAATTTCACGTGATTAAAGACCCGTTACTTTAGTAACGCGACGCGCGTCTTGTAATACATAACAATATACGAAAAAAGCCGAATAAGCATGTGATTTTGTGATATTGTTACGAGCACGTGACACATGATATCAGCATATAATGATAGCATTTTTCATTTCTTTTGACTTTTAAAAAATCCTTTCTAAGTAGATAATATAAACTTAAGCAAAAAACAATGTCTGACGATGAGTACGGCTATGATGACAATGACATCGGGGGGTTGGTTTTTCGAGTAGTTTATGTTTATTTCTTTATATTAGTTTCTGCTACAAGTTAACTGATTCCCCGACTCGAAATATCTGTCAACAGACATGAATCTGATCTAGTAAGTACTTTCACGGAGCATTTATAACTAAGGATGCTGGTGAAATGAAGCCTGTGTGGTAAACAAATTTCACCGCTACTGGTAGAATTTTAAATTAATTTCTCCAGCATCTCTACTTATGACTGGTATTATTAACGCCAGGCGTTTTTATACGCCCAATCATTTTGATTTGGAATAAAGTTTTTTTATAAAGTTTTCGAACAGTGCCATTTCACATGTCCTAACATCTTGGATTTATAAACTTTATAAATTAGGACGAATATCCAGAGCAAGATCTCGCTGAAGATGAACTTGAGCCGGATCTTCCAACCGGTTATGGCGCTGAAGATCAAAGAGAAGTGAATATAGACATTCAAGGAGGTGTTGGAATCATTTCGAATGGTGTGGGTGGTGTTGGTATGGATATTGATAAGGGCGAAAAAGTTGTTCAAGAGAAAGAGAGAGTCACAACTCCATATATGACAAAATACGAAAAGGCTAGAATATTGGGTACTAGAGCTTTACAAATCAGGTGATATTTCTTTTTTTATTCATACATTTCCATAAGTATGATGTTAATTGAAATTTTCTTAAAGTATGAACGCACCAATTCTTGTTGATCGTGATAATGAAACCGATCCTCTCGAAATTGCAAAGAAGGAACTTCGTCAAAAAAAAATTCCTTTAATGGTACGAAGATTTCTTCCCGATGGAAGTTTTGAGGATTGGCATGTTAGAGAGTTGATCATACCTGATGACGAGGCCTATGGTTAGGGTTGGTAAAGTCCTTAGGTCCGGGACTTTAGGACCTGGTCTTTAAAGACCAAGTCCAAATTTAGGGACCTAGAGGCCTTAGGCAGCAAACTTAGAATCGCCCATAAAAAATATATCGCTGATATCACAATGACGACATTGATTTTTTGCATGATACTTTTTTCCCGATTATGATTTGTAAGGTAAAAAAAAATAAAAAATAAAAAAAATATATATTGATATTAATTATAATAAAGAAACAATTTATTGTGGCCGTTGCCATACTTGGCAAGCATATAAAAATTTTTTGATAATAAAAACAAACAAGTGACAACATGTCAAAATTGGCACTAAAAACGTAGTAAAAACAAAAAGAGACCTATTCAAGTTTGAAAACAAGTTCAAAATCAGGAATATAGTTTAAGATATTAATTAGCTACAAGATATTAGTAAATCTATTTATAATTTTTTACTATTTTTAGAAGAAATAAATAAACAATATGAAAGAGATTCTTCTAAGCTTTATATTAATTTTGATATTTGGGGTTAAATCAAGCAAATATTTTTTAATAAGTTTAAACAAGAACAACTTAATAAAAACTTAATAAAATTTAATAAAAATTTTTTAAAAAAATTTTTATTAAATTTTATTAAGTTTTTGTTAAGTTATTCTTGTTTAAGTTATAAAAAATTTGTTTAATTTTTATTAACTTACTCCTATTTAATTATCTTAAAATATTAATGAATTAATATATATAGATGAAAATTTTGATGTAAGGCCATGCAAAATTAATTAAATGGTTTTCATAACCCGGCCGGGTCAAAATTTGAAAATTTCAAAAAAAAAATTTTTATATGTTTTAATAACCGGGTGGGTTTTAAAAAAAAAATTAATATAAATTTTGTAAAATTTTATATATGAAATTTAAAAAAAAAAGCCGGCCGGCCAGGTCTATTTAAAAATTTCATGTTATGAAAACCAAGTAATCAAATTTGTATGGCCTAATATACAGTTAGTTTCATAAAATTCTTCAGATTTAGTTGATGGATCAAGAATACCAGGAATAGCAGAGGATTTCTTAAAATAAGCCCAATATTTAATTAGTTTGTTTTTTATTTCTTTAATTGTTTCACTATATACAGTATACTAAAAATATGATTATTAAGATGATTTAAAAGTCTCTGAATAATTAATTGTAAAAATCTATGTGAGGGTTGCGAAGCATCTGAAAGAATCAAAGTTGCTATATAAAAGAGTTTGAGAAGTTTCATTATTTCTTTAATAATTTTTCCAATCATTGGCTTCTAAATAATTATCTTTTAAATTTGAACAAGATTGTACAAGGCCATCAGTAATATTATGAATTTCAAGTCAAGAAGTCTTTCAAGTATCAAGTAGGTAGAATTCTATCTTGTCTCAACATTAGTTACTGGATGAAGAAATTAATAGTCTAAAATAGCAGATATCCTTTTCATTTCCTCTAAATATGTAGATGATTTTATTTTATTACAAAAATGTTAGGCCTTCTGAATTTGGTAAAGATATTTTTTTTGACCTACTTTAACTACAAGATTAATAACATGAGCTGTACAACGTACATGCTCAAGTTTTGGATTTATAAACCTTTGAAGAAAATATAGATATGTTAAATTATTTGGTGCATTATCACTAGTGAAGCTAATTATTGCTTTTTAATCTCTAGAGTTTTAATGACTTCAAGAATTTTTTCTCCAAGGTATTCTCCCATATGGGCATCATGAAGAGGAATGAAATCAAGAAGAAAAGCTTTTACTATTCATTTAGCATCGATCTAATGAATTGTAATTCTGAGAAAAGATTACTAATTGTATGCTATTCAAACATCCAAAGTAAGTGCTAATTTATTTGAGCTGGCCTTTAAGACCACCTTAATTTTTATTTTTGCCAAATCAAATTGTATTTTTATATTTGTAGATAATATTTGATAGCAGGAAAGTTTGTAACATAAATCAAGATTGGAGCAAAATTTTTTAAATAATTTCTCTTCAACTACTAAAAATGGTTGCTAGCTAATAACAACTCAACGCAACAAGTCATAGTTCAAAGAATCAATATGAGGCTGTTTACCAGTTAAATAAAAAAAAAACTTTGAGAACTTTGAAAAATCATTATAGATTAGTGGATGTTTTATTTTAAAATGATTTGTTACTGTTAAAATTAATGTGCTTTTTGTTCATTTATTATTATATATCTTACAGAGCTTGAATATTTCAAGATTGTTACTAAGCTCATCGAGATATACATAAACTGGTGCAAGTTTTCTCTTTTTTAATCGCAAGTTATTAGGCTGAATAAGCTTTTCAGTTTTTTGTAAATTATATTGAACATCTTTCTCAGAAGAATTAATAATTACATAAGGTATTGTAAACATAGTAAATAATTGAAAACTTAGAATATGTTATTGGAAGTTTGATAAAATTTATAATTTAGAAGGAAATATATGTGATCTTATATAATTTTTAAAAATTCTTTATTATTTTAATCTTGTTAAAATTTATTAACAATTGGTTGTTTATATTTAGATAAGAATCTTATACAAGCACCTCTTAATATACCTAAAATTAGCTAAGCTATTTAAAAAAAAAACACTTGTTAGTTTAATCTAGAAGCATGCTAATATGCTAATAATATCAATTTCTTCTTGTTAATATAAATTTGAAAACTAATTACATTGTGAAAATAGTTATTAGAATACTTTTTCAAATTTAAAGATCTATTAAGGCAGAAATTAGCCAGGGCAGCCTTCAAAAGTTCCAGTAATATAATTATAGCACAGCCACATATATATATGTATTGCAATATTGAATTAGAATTGGCCAAGGCAGTCTCCCCAATATGCAGTTACACAAACCCATATAATATAAAGTTACAATCGGACAAGTTACCAACATTGATATCAATAACTTGTTGATTGTAGTTTTATATTATAAAAGTTTGTGTAACTGCACTTGAAAGAGGCTGCTCTGGCCGATTTATTGAAATATGTATATATGATTGCTATCTAAAAAAAAGTAATTTACAATATGCAGCTAGAAGAGAACCAATAAGTTGCACTAATTGATTTTATGTCACTAGCACTTTGGGGGCTATCCTGGTTAATTTTAAGGCAGCATCTACAATTTGTATTAAACCAATAGTGTATTGTATAAAAATAAGAGCCTTGAAGGTAATGCTATCCCTTAAGCTGTAGAGTTTGTATAACAATTTTAGCTTAAAAATAGCATAAATTTAGTTATGATTTATTTTTTT